GCATTAAAGCCCAACTCTCCTGTGCTAACTTTGACGCTGCAAGAAAGGGGGATGACTCAGTGAAGGGTTTCAAAATGGACCCTCATTGCACCTCTTATTGGAGCCTCTGTGCGCTCAGTATCACAGCCAGCTCACATTTCAGATCTGCACTACAGCTGTATAGAGCCTCTGGGTGTGATCTGGGATTAATTTTGGTTTTTTTTCCAACAGTGATTATTTATCTCTTAGCAAGGTTGTTGATGACTTTCTGATTGCTTTATCCCTCAGTAAATCTTTGGGGAGAACCAGTTCACAAATATATTAATTAACAAGCTTAATAGTGTGCTGCCTCAAATCCATAAAATTATTCCACCTGATCACGTGTTCCTTTATGGCTTATTCAAGGCCAGAAGAAGTAGGTAGGCAGGCACATAAATCCATCTTTTGGATTTAGCCCTTATGATTTTGGGAAGGAATCAAGTGATAAATGTTAGTCACTGAGGTGGTGGAGCCCTGGAATGCATAAAACAAAGATCACCAAGGAGGAGCTGCTCTTAAGAGGAAATCTATTTCTTTGTAGCTACTTTACACCAGCTGGTATTAAAATGCTGTAATGGGTCTGCCTGAGATGCAGCCCTCACTGTGCTGTGCAGTGGTAGCTAGATAAGACATCAGTGTTTTGACTACTGCTGAGCCAGGCTCATACAGCACCAAGGCTGCTTCCCCAACATTTCCCCAGTAGGCTGGGGGTGGTAAAAACTTGGGAGGGGATATAGCCAGGACAGCTGACCCAGACTGTCCAAAGGGATATTCCATACCACATGATGTCTGCTCAGCAATATAAGCTGGGGAAAACAGGAAGAAGCGGGGGACATACGTTTCGCGTTTGTCGTCCAGAGCAACCGCTACACATACCGGAGCCCTACTTCCCAGGAAGTGGCTGGGCATCGCCCGCTGGTGGGAAGTAGAGAATAAGATCTTTTGTTTTGCTTTTGCTTCTGCACGCGGCTTTTGCTTCATTAAACTGTCTTTGTCTGACCCACGTGCCAGTTGTTATATTTTCTCTCCCCTGTCCAGCTGAGGGGGTGAGAGTGATAGAGTGGCTTTGGTGGGCACCTGGCATCTGGCCAGGGCCAAACCACCACAAATGCTTATGAGATCACCACTGTCCTGAGAAAAATTAGCTCTTTTCCTACATGAAATGAGCCAGGCTTTTTGTGTTGAACACAGAGAATCAGTCTTGGATACATTCATTAAATGGCTATCCTCATATTACTGCCTTGGAGACAATGACTGTTTATCACTGTTACTGTTACTGAAATACGAAAGTTGTGTTTGATCTTAAGATCCAGACTCTCCTATGGAACTGAGTTATCATGCTTGTTAATTTATTAAGTAATGCAAAATTCTCAGGTAACAATTGAGGAATAGAGCAGTCAGAAAATCACCAATAACTTTGCTAAGAATTATTAATCTTTTTTGAAGAAATAAATACAAATTTGTTTTTGATTTAAAATGACAAAAATCTTTAAACATCTCTATTGCATTTGGGCACAGCTTTGTACTTTAAGGCACAAAAATTAGTGGGATTACCGAGTGACTTTCTTCTCATCAAGATCACATTTAGAATAGCCTTAATCGGCATCTACAACAAACTAAGGATACTGATTTGGAAATTTGCATGTGGGTGCAATGTGCTTTACCTTTGACTATATGTCTGAAGTTAATAAGCCTCAATTTTCCCGACTCTGTAAATAGTCTTGAGGCCCAGATCTTCATTTTGATTCAGTTACAATATTCATGCAGCAAGTGGAAACCTTGCTTTCACGTCTGTCTCTGTCTAACGCAAAAAGGACTTCAGTTCACTGATAGGCCAAAAGAGCCCTTCAACACCTGGGTCACTAGGTTTTCTGAACCTCTGTTTTTCCCTCATGTTAAAGTAAAACTAGTTGGCATAAGTAACGAAATAAGTTAGTCTCAAAATTGATGCAATCATGGGATGAGGACAGATAGGTTCAAGCATCTAGTTTTCATGAGTTTGTTTTATGCTACATAAAATGCTTCAATTGGAGAGCCTGACTCTTATCAGAAAGTATACAGATTTAGGTGTGACAAAACTCTAAGGACATAGCAATCTCACCAAGCAATCTCATCCAATGAAGGTGCATGTTCAAGTTGTACTAAAGCCTAACACTTCATTGTTGATGGTTGAAAATGTGAGGAAAAAAGATCAAAAAGCTAGAATAAATTCTCTCTTCTTCCCCACAACTCCAGCTACCACTGCTTCATTAGAAAAAGGAGAGTGCAACACAAAAAGTCATTCTTACGTACATTCTTTCAGATTTTCATATCCTCATTACATAGAAGACAGCCAAGGAGTGTTTTTCATCATAGGTCAATATATTAAATTGTATTTACTCCTACACTTTGATATAGAAAGGAAATGGAGATGGCTGATTATTTATTTTCCAAATTTTTAAATATCTCCCCTTTTTTCTACCTTTTGTGCGTTTTTTTTGGTTTTTTTTTTTGTTTTTTCACAGTGGAAATTAGAAAACTAGAGTATGGATTAGTATAGAAAGAACATGGCACAGTTGCACCTAGGATGAAAAGAAGCAGAAAAAAAAAAACAAACCACGATTTTATTTTTCACATTTCACAATATCTACTTTCACATTTTGAAGCCTTAGCTACTTTCACACAATTAGAAAAAAAAAAAAACCTAAACATTTTTAACATTAGGAGGCTGCTTTTAGAATGACTACCATACAGTTTGTAAGTATAATGCTGCTGCATGGTACAAGGACACAGAAGCAAGCCTTTTGACAGCAGTAGAGTTATACTGGCTTCACAATTAGTGCAAATAGTAACAAAGGCTGGATCACTCTGAGTCAATATTGAACAAAAGCAAGCTGTAAATGCCTGCTTTTGCAATGAAAAAAACACTGCTTCTTTTATTTTACTGATTTATTTTATTCCAAAGCCTTTTTTTGTACACAGACTTGAATTTTGAGATATTCAAATCCCTCAAAAAGGGCTTCGGATCTACTGCATTTCTTAAGGCTTTCTGTCTGAAATACAAATATCAACAAATTGTCCAAGAAAGATAGAAAAGCTTCTTTTATTCTCATTATTCTTAATGAGAACAGCAGAAATACTTCTCAAATACTAATGCTAAAAATGTTTTCTCTCATTGCCTCTGCTGTTGCTGATTTGACCAGAAGGATCCCTTGCAGAATTAGCCTATGTACAGAAGATGTGAATAAAAATTCCATTCCCACTTCTAGTTTCATGTGGATCCCATTGATTTCAGCTGCCCAGAAAAAGGAAGATTGGGTTGATGTTTTTTTTAAAAAAAAATGCAAATAATCCATCACAAAATTATCTGGTTATAGTCCCAGTTGAGGTATAGATTTCTGATCACAGTGCATCTGCTTGGCAAGGCTTCTCCTTCCATATTACATCAATAATAGAGCAATGAAAATGCTTTCTAAAAAAATCTCTGTCAGACCTCACAAGCTCATTCACTCAAGTAAATCATAAAAACATGTATAGGACACTTAAATTTAAAGAGGGTGTACTTATCACAATCTAATCTCCAGTTGTAGGGATACCATTCATCCATTATAAAGCAAAACATGACAAAGCAAACATCCTTTTGCAAATGAACTGAGATTTTATTTTTAATCCTATAGCTTAAATAATGGTCCCTTTGCAGTATTTTGTGCAATGAAAACCCTGTTTTCATCCAAACTATTTCAGTCAGTTGCCCTTTTCACCATATTATTGTATTGATGACATCAGCCTTAGCAGGGAAAGGCAGAATTTTGAAAACAGGTTGGGCAGTTAAATGGAGAAAGAATTAATTTCAAACTCTTGTGCTTTTAAATACATTTGCTTCAAAGCCTTTTTTTATAGAGCCTTCCTCTGGAAACTGATAAAGTGTTTGAGCCATCCGACTTTGGCTGAGTCATCCCCATAACATTAGTTGTAGTTCAGAGTCCTTCTCACCTTGCAGAGGCAGGAAGGAAGGTAAAGATTATCTTATGTAACTTCTGTATAAATTGGGTTACCTTTTAAATTAAAAGATTTATAAAAATATTACATAGCAGCACAGTTATAATTCTGGGTTATACAATTGTAAAAATAATAATAATGACTTTTGTTAATACATTGGAAAAACCTGAAACTTGAGTCACAAAAGCTAAATTTTTCATAATGTAAGACATATAATAAAAGCCACCAAGCTGACTTTAATTACAAAGGATGGCAAAATATTCAGTTGCAGAGAAAGGAGTAACAGCATCACTTACCTCAAAACTTACAGATCCATTGTGATCAGTGTCAAATGCATTAAACAGAAAATGTGCATAAGTTGTGGAATCTACGATTTAAAACAGCAAAAGTAATTGATAGTAAGCACATCTTATTTCATTTAATTTCATTCTATGAAAAAAAAAATGAAACCAAGATATATCTTGATACCAAAATTTGATAGCATGACTAAATTTTCAATTCAGTTTAAACTTCATTTTTGGCAGGGGAGGAGGGATAAGTTATAAGTGCAAGTATGTGTGTAGCTACACTGTCAGGAACAGAAAAGCTAAAACTCTGGTCTAGAATATCTTTATTTGTTTTCATTCCCATTTCTGCTAATCACTGATATCTGAATAAATAGCAAACTCATGTTATTGTACTCTGAAACAACCCATGTTAATGGGAACACTACTTTATCAGTTAAATAACCATGATAAGGGATCTGTCTCATATGTTAAGAAAGACAATTATATTCATTTGTTCACTTTAAATGAGGGAAGCAGACACTGCCATCTGTGCATGTGGTGCAGTTTTCACTCTGAAGACAGGCCTCTTTCCCAGGTGAAGCTGACTTGTCAGAAAGCTGCTGCTGCACTGGGTTCCTGTGCTTACCCACAGCTGAGACAAAATCCTGTCCAGAGAAGCAGATTTTTAAAGCTGGTTTGCTGCTTAATTCCCGTGAAAACCCCATGAGGGGTAGGTGCTTAGAAACCTTGGAAAAACTGGCTGTGACTAACTGAAGTGGTCAGTAAGACTCTGAAAGATGACCTTAAACTAGAGATCCCTTCACTAATTATTTGTATACTTTTAAAACCTACTGACTGGTGCATATCCACTCATTTTAGAAACACAAGCATGAATACAAATCTGTCAAGACTCTACATTTTCGTAAAGATCTGTCTTTCCATTTCCACTGAATGCGTTCCGAGAGGCACAACCTGCTCCAGGAGTAATACACTGCAAAGAGAGAAATTATGCAGAGACTGCCCTGTTGATGAAAGGAACAAGCTGCTGGGGTTATGGGAAGTCAGCTTTCCTCAGTGTCTTTTCCCTCCCTCAAAACCATGCAAATTAATGGTATTTTTTACTTTTAATACTCATTGCTTTCTCTTTCAACTTCATGAATTTGCATTAATTTTAGGTTAATTAACATTAACCTAACAAACTTTTAGTAAAGTGAGAAAAGTTATGAGATCTGTGTTCCCCTTTGCAGGACAAAACCCTCTCTATCATGGAAAAACCTTATCACTGCTGAGATGCCTTTTTCTGATTTCTTGGCACTAAACCATTTTACCTTTAATATTAATCCTGAAAACAAAACCAAAAACATTGTTTTGAATAAAACTGAGTGACAGTCTTGAGTCACTCACCTGAAATGCCACCTTGGTCCCAAGGAACCAAATATATCAAAACTCATAACTATTTACTTCACAAATTCAGACCTGATATTAGTAAGTAAAGTCTCTGGACTTCCTTCAATATGTTAATTTCATATGATGTGAAATAATTGTAACAAGAAAAAAAATCTGCAACCTTTAAACCCTCTGTCTGTTAATGCATTTTCAGAGAATTAAAAAAAAAATAATCCAACACTATTGAGACATTCATTCATCCATCCATGTATCCAGTTATCAGTGTAATTGCTTGAGCATGGTCTAGCAGACAAATTCCCACTTAACTGAAAAATATGAATTTGTTGACTTCAGTTTATATTTAGGATTTTAATAGTTGTATTTTGTATAATCTACTGAGACTTCTATTGTGCAACAGAATATACTACACAAACCATCTTCAGGGAAAAAACATATTATAGAGGTATAATTACTGTTAACTGAATTCTAAATAGCTTCCCATTCTCTTGGCATTAATTTCTTAAAAACATGTGAAATATTCCTAATTATTTTCTGTAGATTTACAGGGAAAAAAAAAAAAAAGAGGTTAACACTAGTAAACACTATTGTTTGTTGCCCATACATGATACAATATTCTACTTTATTTTTGTATGACGGTATGTGAAAAGAAAGCAATCTCTACTTGAAGAATCTTCTCTTTCTAGTAACCCCTTTTGAAAAAAAAAAATCAGAGGTCTTTTTCAGGGTTGGTTGTTCAGGCAATTCTGGTCTGAAATTTTGCTTTCAAAAACATAGCAAGATGAGGTACACTAGTCTTTTAATTGGAGCTACTTAATGGGATTTCCCCCTGCCCCGACCACCCTCAATCTTTAACATTAATCATGTTAGACAGAAGCTTAACTTTCTTAATAAAATACGTTTTCTTTTCAGGGATCTGATATCATAACAAGTAGGCTAAATTGGTATTCTGAAAGGTCGAGACAGAAACAGATATTAAATCAGAATTCCTCTGAAATACAACATTAAAGCATTTTAAACATCAGAGACAAAAAATGATAGTCATTATACATCAAACCATGAACATAATCTGTTCTGTTCATAACCGAGGAGGCGTGTAATAATTATTCAGTGTGTGAATTCTTATCTATGACCCGCCTGGCTGAAGAACCAATCCCGTTACATTTCAGGTGATGCATTGCATGAAAACAGGCGGCCTATTCATTCACTTGTATGGCAGTGTTTTTTCAAAAAGAAGTTACTGAAGTGCCTTTCTGGCATGGAAAGCTTTTTACAAAGCTACTTCTGCCTTTTAAAGTACTTTGGTTTTACTGCAGTCCAGTGTTATTTCCTTTGTTATTCTTGTGGCTCCCTTGTCCTCTTTCTACTCCTCCTGTACCTTGTCCTGGATAGTCTTGAAAGTCATTGGATGAAATGACTTGCTGGGTAACATTGGAAAATGATTTTTTGGTGGCTGCTTGGTCACCCTGAAGCTTTAAGTCTTACACAACATCACTTTGCTCAGATATGAATTGTTATAGTGACGCATTCTGTTTTATCTGGGTTTGCATTATATAGGCAATTGGGGCACAAATATCTACATGTACAACAGAGTTTTTAATTTGGGGACAACTTTAAAACTTTTTTTTTCTCTTTAATATTTAGACATACATAACAACAATGTATGAAGCACAACTGAAATACAAAGGCCTCAGCTGCACACAGTATTTTGGCAATATATTCAAAGATTTAAGTATTCAGTCTGGACACTTAAATATGATGATCTCCGCCTGTTGTTAGCATGCAGGGATGTGCAAACCCAGACAATTAATTCAGCTTTGAAGATACCTTGGCTAATATGAGGAACAAAGAACAGACTTTGGATCCCACACCTCTCAGAAAAGGGCAAAAATCAACACAGGCAGCTACAAAACAGCACAAAACCTATACAAAACAATTCAAGTTTCAGTGGCCCCACAGAAATGAAAGGATTACTAATGTGAGACATTAGTCTTTCAAGGAGATTCAGCTTTTCTGCTGTTTCCACTGAATATTTTTCCTGAAATTTTGAGGAAAACTACATAAGGCTTTCACATTTGTTTGTGCTGTCTTTATGTACTGCTAAGACTGCACGCCCTTGCATAGAGGCTATGGAGGAGAGGAAGGGGATACTTCTGGTGGTCACTTGTCAGTGCTCTTCACGGAGATCTCTGAAACAGCTTTACTAAGAAAGCTAAAAATGCTGTTACTTGTACACAACAACATCTGTTACTGACAAGTGAATTACCTGGATTCGACACTTTTCTAGCGTGCTAAAAATCTTTTTACTGTATTTTACTAAAGTCAAATGAAACAAGAAGAATAAGCTTTTTTTTTTTTTTTTTTTTTTTTTTTCAGAAAAGTATATCTATCTCTCTTGTTGCAGACAGAGTAATGGCATTGTTGAAATCGCAGCAAATAGTGTAACTGTGTGACCTAGTAATGCAATATTGCCATTGCAACTGAGAATCCACAAGTTTTATAGGGAGCTTGCCCCAGGATGGAGGCTTATCAGCTTGCAGCTTTATTTCCCATGGTTTAGCTGTGAACTGATTTGGTTTCTAAGGCTCGTTGGTTTTACTTTTGTGGTGGAACTATAGCTTTATATAGGTAGCAGAAACAGGCAGTTATTCTATGTAGCAGTAGGTAATTATGACTGTAAAGTAATGATGCAGTGGAGAGAAGTACTTTTTGCCTTGTACACCAGCAGAGGCCTTCAGCAGCAGAGAGATGGGATGTGGCGCAGAGGAGAGCAGGTGTGGGATGAGAGGGGATGGGGCGCAGGCTGGTGCTGGAGACCCCACAGCTAAAAACAACTCACTCATGGCCAGTTAAAGAAATGCAGGTGTAGAGCTGGACAAAACTTGTTTTAGGTGTAGCAAAGAGAACAAAGAGATAGTATCTAACACATGTAACAGGCACCACCTAGAACAGATTTGGGTGTAATGTGGTGCTGCAAACCAATGAGAAAAAGAAAGGTGTAAAAACATGTTAGCAAACATGTAGAAATGACCCCATGTGAATCCTAGAGTGAGGAAGAAGAATGCACCAACATAAAAATCCTATTTCTCCGAGGGAAGGACTCCAGACGCTGACAGTCCACTGCAGTCCCCACCACCTCCCCCAAATGATGCCACTGCCCTAAAGGCCCAGAGGAGCAGCAGAAGAGCGAGCATTAGCACCAGGAAAAGAGGTAGAAACTAAGGATTGAGTGTATATCAACTTTAACTACATTAATGTGCTTTCTGTAACAACTAGGTCTGGACTAGCAAAGATCAGGCTTTTAAGATTACATTTCTTCACACAATACATTTTAGCTTTACTTTTAAAAAAAGTGTGCTTTCTCTTTGCTCATAAACAATTTTAAGTGTAACAATAGGAAATACCATAATTTTTTATTAGTAATTTAAATGTAGTACAGGTGTAGTAAATCACATGCAGAGAATTATTTTCACTAGCCAGGGTAACTAAAAAATACAATATCTGAAACTGTAATTGTTCACCTGGTTTAAAAGCTTAGATATAGAAATAATCAGTAGGCAGGTCAACTCTTTTAGCCTTTTGTTCTTCCCTATTGAGTTGTGCCTACTTGTTAAGGATTTCAGTGATGATAATTCACACTGAATGCTGCTCTTTACCTTCTAGGTCTTTATTCAAAATAAAACTAATTGAGAGATGTTTTGTTCCTACCAATTAAGTGTGGATTTTTTTTTAATATAACTGAAAAGAAGGAGTTATGAACAGACTCAGGGAAATGTGCAAATCTCAAGAGCTGTGGGAGAAGATAGTCTGTAAAAGAATATGAAGAGGGAGGATTGAAAGGTAAAATCAAGAGGAAGAAAAGAGATGAAAACAATTCAAAGTAAAAGAAAATCCGAGGTTCAAGGCAAAAAACTGTTACACATTTTTGTGTTACTTCATTGCACTAAAAGATAATGAAGATAAAGAAATTAATGAAACCCCTGGAAATTTATTAATTGAAATTAAGGTTAGAAAAACAAAATCCCAGTATTAAGTAGAGAAACCCTATAGAAGTCAAGGGAGTTCTGCTGTTGATTTTAGAGGGTAACTGGAGTGCCTCCTACAGTTTTCATTTCTACTGTGAAAGGTTTTGTGGAATAAAAGAGAATGGGGAAGACTGTAGAAACCAGAAAAACCTAGTTTTCAAAGGTACTCAAACACAGGTAGTAGCTTCATTATAGAAAACTGACTTCTTGTAGATATCACTGCATTTCATTCAGAAATATATCTTCAAAATGTGTCCAGCCATCATGGAACTACCTCATGAGTTCAGACAAAGCTTAAGACAACAATCTTGTTGATTGGAACAACAGGTTGTTTCGTCAGACTTAGGAAATAACAATCATAACTCTGTGTTCACTGTAGTACTAATTGTGTCTAAGTACTCACCTCCCTGTGGAAAGAACTGAGAGTAAATCTCTTTGAACGTTTCTTCATTGACAACACCACTG